ATTTAATTAAATTTATCTATGATTTTTTTATTTAATAATGAAGAAATATTTTTTAAATAATTTCTAATTGGAAAATCTAGAGTTTGGAACCGGGTTTATTTTTCATATATTAAAACTGGTTTTAATCGGTTTTTACATATGAAAAATAAAACCGATTACAAACTTTAAATCTAAACAGTGTCCCCATGTACTTAGTACTTTCATAGCCAATTAAACAAATTTTAGGGCAAAAATAAAAATTATGACCCGTGTTAGGGTTATGGTTAGGATTGGGGTCGGGGTAAAGTTGCATGAGAAACATTTTTATTAGTGACACGATGGGGTTAGCATAGTCAAATACTGAGATATTAGAGCGGGGCACAAAGTGCACGATGCACTGTTTTGTCCTTTCCTATTATAACTATTAATTATAGTATAATAATTAGATTTTAAATATTATCTCTCAAAAAGCTTTTTACAAGAAAGAACAAGTTATATCAAATAAGGTTTATAAATTTTTTATTATATTTTAAATTCTATATACAGTTAAATTTTCAAAACCAATATGCATAATGGACAGGTTTTGTATCAATAATGAGAGTTATCAGATTTGAATCATTATAACTACGTATTAGAATTATATTACAAAAACAAAATTGGCAGATTAATTTTTTATTAAATTTGATTGAATTGGTTTTTGGCAGTTCAACAAACTTTGGATTATCATGTAATTATAAATTTTTTAAATCCTAATTTAAAAAAAAATTATTACTCGAAAATGAGTAGCATCATGTGTCCGGAGTAGAAGTGTTGGTGAAGTTTACAACAAATTTTACCAATTCAAAACTGAGTGTTCATGTATTTAGACAATCAGCTAATCCGAATCACGCCAGATTTCTTATTGATCACTTGCTTTCGTAAAAACAGAGTATACTCCACTTTGTTCCGAATAATTATTTCTATTATTTCTATTTTTACTGATTTTGTTAGTTTTATCACCTTTCATCAGTTTTCTCCTTATCACCTTTCGTCAGTTTCGTTATTTCACCTTTTTAAAAATTTTTTTGACAAAAGACGAAACTTAATTTCGTCTTTCGATAATGAAGAAACCTGCAAGTTTGACTTAACAACACTAAATCAAACAGAAAAATTAGTATTCAGAGCAAGTTGGTTAGTGAAAATTAACGGGTTCGAAACTAAATTTGTAGTAATAATATCCGAAGTTTTTGCTTATTCACATACGGTCAGGGCGTTATTAATTAATCCACCCGTGACCTTGATATAGTGATCGAAAGGTTTCGGATTAAAAATTAATTGAAATCGGGAAAATCGATCAGGCCGGTAAATTTATTAGCATAGCCGATTAAAAATGATTGGTCAAAACATTTTGCATATGATGCTATTAACATAAAATTAAAGGTTCTAGAAAGAACTAGCTTTTATATTACCGTAAAATCTCCAAATATAATTACCCGAATTTTTCGAGTCAATATTAAAGTTGCTTATATTCGGTAATCCACAAATATACGGGAAATGAAATATAAATCATAGTGTGCAGTAGCTGAAATCAAAGTATTGTAAGAACAAGATGAAACGAGGTGTATGGTTACAAGAGTATAAAAAGAATATCCGAATGCAAGCAACTGATTTAGGCTGAATGATTACCATGATTCTAATTGACTAATAGTGAAGAATTTAAATCCTTAAATCCTCAATTCTTTGTTGTTTCGATATTACTATTTGAAATGAAAACCTAGAGAATTAATAGATGGTACTGTATAAAACTTATACGTTTCATATTGCAATAAAAAGTATGTGTTGATTAATCCACTAAAAATAGATTATACGATATTAAGTTTGATATTGCAATAAAGTATGTGTTGATTAATCCACTAAAAATAGATGATACAATATCTGATATTAAGTTTGATATATCAGAAAATATAAATGATTAAACAATACAAATTAAACCTTGTTATAACAACAAAGAAATCGAATATATATAGGAAACTTTTTAAACAAGGGTTTGAAATATATATTTATAGGTATAATTTTCTGGTGCCGCTTTTATATTTACCCATAAATATAATCAATGCAAAAATGTGAAGAATTAGAATTACATAATTTTTAAAAATTTTTTAGTTTCACGGATGATGTCAAATTTTGTACGATTATTAATGGTAAATAAATTCCTAAAACGGAACAACGTACAGCATATTCCTTGTTTTTGGATGCAAAAAATTTCCTTAACTGGTACAAACGTGGATTTGGTTCGCACCTATAATCCGCACTGGTTCATCATATCTTAATTGTGCCCATTTATGTATTAGCGTTAGCGATTTTCACCAAATTCGACTATTTGATAATTTGTTTGTGGGACTAACAACTTTAATGCTTTAACATTTATGTTGTCGTATACAATATTGATGAAATCTACAGTCACTGTGTAACGAATTAATAATGGTATATATTATGAATTGCTTATTATTTGCCGCCAGTCTCATTTATTATGTGAAGCAATTGATTACATTGTTCACACCAGTGTAGGCGGCGTTATGTATATTAATTTGGAGTTACAGAATAATTACGATAGTCATTGATGGGAGAAACGTGAATACAGAATGACTAATAAAGAAGGTAGATCGATGCTTAACTTTTATATTATTAGTATTATGATTCTTTTCTAACAATGTTAACAACTGTTTCAACTCTTCAAATATTGAAAGAGTTATGCATCAAATAATGGTTTGTTAAAAATTCAACCATTTTCTTGAATTTTCTTTGAATTATTATAGAAATTGAATTATTTTATAGACATTGCTAATTACGAATAAATCATACTTAAAAGTGTAATACCAACAGATCATCTTGCCTTGTGTTTGTTGAAAATGCAGCAATCAGTAATATTATGAAAATGTGATACGTGATGCTAAAAATAAATTTCTATAAATTTGAAATAATAATGTGATTGGTCCTAATTTTAATAATAAAAAATAAAGGTATTTATTTTATTACAAAATCAATACACTAGTCCACATGATTATTGGTTTTTAAAAAAATATTCGTTTGACTTAATATAGTGCACTCAGCAGCAACACATCATGTAATTGTCATTAATTTGGTAGTACTTTTACATAATCGGATAACTTGTTAGCAAAAAAAAGAAACATAAAGAGCTTCGTATTCCTTTGGAACATCTCAAAGATTTATTTCTGTATTGTTTCATAATATTTATTATTACTAATCTCATCAAGGGACAATGATTTTTAAACTGAGTAACTTTATGTTATTTTAAAGACATAATTTTGAACCAGGTATTTATTTTATTATATCGAGCATAAAATATGATAATAAATTTAAGAAATTCTAGAAATTTTTATATACATATTCATAAAAAAATTTTTTTGTGTCTTAGTCTCTACTAGTTTGTTACTACTTATACAACTTTTTACAGTCATAAGCATAATAAAATTTCTCTAATTTATGTAAGGTATTTCTTTTAAATAAGTAATTTTAGATGTTAAATATATTTGTTAAATATTTGTTAAGTCAAAAATATTATACAAATGTTCATTCGTTGATTCAAAGGAATCAAAAGTTGTATCATATAAGAAAGAATCAGAGTTTACAGTTCCGAATGGATAATCATTAAAATCTTGTGGCGTACTTTGAATAAAATGAAGAGGAAAAGTTGTGTCAATGCTAGTAGTTTCACTGAAATGAAAAGGCAAAGTTGTATCTACACAATCATTTTTACTGAAATCGAAAGGTAATATTTCTGTTGGTTGCGTTTCATAGTCAAAATCATTTGGATAATTGTAGCAATCAGTTGTGAATTGTTTGTTCGATTGAACCATGTTAATCAATTCTGCCATAGGATCCAAATATTGAAATTCCGTCATGTACTGAATTTCTTGTGATTCGTTTACTACTTCATAATTTTCTTGAGACATGTTAATATCAAGATCATCGAGCGATATCGTTTGTTCGTTCAGAGATGACCGAGATTCTTCGGGAACTATAATAGATGATAAAGGTGACCATGGCCTTTGCAATTCTTCTTTAGGTTCTTTAGATTCCTTAGGCATATTACTATAATCTTTCTTCGCACCTTTCGATTTTGTTATAAATCTATAATTCGGAAAGATATCACGATGAACACGGCTGCAAAGTTTTGCTAGTAAAATATATCTATTTTTGGTTTCATCTGATGCATTTGTCCACCGTTCTCCAATAATTCTTGATATTTGTTCAAAGCTTGCATTCGGATTTTCTTTTTTTATTTCGTCTTGAATATCTTTTCGATACAAGATGAATGCATTTTGAGGTCGTGTGATTCTGCCTTGTTTTCCTCGAGTTTTCTTACAAGGTGCCAACAGTTGTTCAACTGTGTGTTTAAAACTAAAATCTTCTTTATCAGAAATATAATCTCTAATATTTCTTTCAATTGAAAGTTTAAGTTTGCTTTTAAAGACTGCTGTCTCAAAGTAATGAACTTGTTTTTTTCTTCGCGGTTTTATCGGTTTTATCGTTAGGAATTTTGGTTTCGTCATGTCTAAATTGATGTTGTCTGTCTGATTTTTCTTTAC